TTTTTTTCTCGTTCTCCAGTATGTCTCCTCACTCAACTCCTTTCTTAACTGTGTAAAAGCCCTTGAATCTTAGTCTTACATATTCTTAATATATGTCCTCTAATATTAGAGTTGCATTCAGAAAGTCTTCAGCTTTGCCTGGATCTTAAATTTTCCCTGTGATTTTTCTAACAACTTAAAAGTTTCAGGTCTTAAAGTGTTCCAATATTTTAAATGGATTTTTGTCAGGAAGAGACATGGGGAACCTATCTTAATTATTTTAGATTAGTATACAGTTTTCTCAGCACCATTTATAGTGAGGTTTGTTTTCCTCCAATGTGATGGAATCTGGCCAAACTCAAAGGCCAATTACTTGATGGTGTCTTCTTGTATTTTTACATGGAGTATTCAGTGAACAAATGCCACTGAGCTAATTTTGTGAGACTAATTATATTAGCAAGGGTTCTTCCTATGTGACTTAAAAATACTTCACTAATTACTCCTATCTCACAAAACAATGGCTGAGGAGGGTGGTTAAAGGAGCTCAGTATATGAAAAATAATAATAACATGATGTATATAAGATCCCCTACAGAAGTTGATCATCACTTGTCGTCAAGGTTGGCTGTATCCCGAGTGATTTCATGACTATATATTAATGAAACCAAAGAAGCAGCCCCTCTACATGTAGATATTCAAAAGGAAGGCCAGTGAACATCTTTACAGTTGTATTCAGAGACTTGTGATGTACGTATTATGGTGTCCCTGGAAAGATGTCTGCAGAAAGCAGCATATCACTCTTGTTTTAATATTCAAACCCCTAACTCTGATTCAAATGACTAAAAATCTCTCATGACTGCAATTAGTATTCAAATGATGGATTTGCCTCTAGAAAAAAAACTTCTCGTTTACTAACATTAATAAATAGCTAGTTTATAGTATTATGATAAGGACATAATTTCAATTCCCTTCAGAAAGCCCCTAATTTACATACATTAGAAATGCCTCCCTGAACTCAATGAACACAGATAAATGAGTTGCTACTGTGTTATTTGTTGTAGCACAAATGTAAATATTGGAATGATACCAGTAGGTTTAGTATTTGCAAAATGTGAAATCATTATCTTGCAAGGTTATATAAGTAGTTTTATATTTGCTAAAATATAAGGGAGACCTTAGTTTTGTACTTCTTGATCCCGACTGACATCTGTACAGGACACTCCATATGGGATACTGATAAGATGTTCTCCTAAATAATTTGGAAGTGTTCACCCAAATTCCTAAGTAACTGAAAGATCCCCCAATCCTCGAAAGCCTCGTAACCTTGCAGGTTTTTCAAGCTATATAAACCTACTAAACCCACTCTCTCCTTTGTTCGCTGCTGTTGTATCAAACCCTGCTTTAGGGAGGTAGTCCTGCCTGGCAGAAAGTAACACTTGTTTAATTCTACCGGAAATGTGTGGTGGTATCCTTCACTCTGGTCCAATAAGGAAATAGGAGGGTTGTATTTGCCGTAGTTGGTCGGTGGCCAAAACTCTCATTTGGGCACCAGCTGCTATTAAGCTAGGAATCTACATTATCAAGTCCTGAATTTTGAAAATTTCTTCAGTTAAAAGTTTGTTTCTCTCCTGTTCATGCCTATGTGATATTGTTTTCATAGTCACACGACTTTCAAGACTAGAAAAAGATAGGTGACCCTACAGTCAAAATTTATAAACGATGATGAGGCAGTAAAGGTGGGAAAATAGTCTGTAAAACACCAAAAAGACACCAGTTGGAATATTCCTACCCTTCCCTATCTTTCTTTGATGACCAGAGATACCAGCGTCATAATGAAACTTGATAAATGGCTGAATCAGAAATAATATGGTAACAAAATTCCCAGGAGGCCATGTGCTCACTAAAGTATGAGAAGCAGGTGTTCATGCTTCCATGCCTTTTCCCACTCATTTCTTCCGATTCTCTGCCTTGGAGGTTCTATAGATATGAGCAGGGCTTGGCTAGCTCTGGCAATCAAGAAAGTTACCACTGAAAGGGAACGCAACCTCCAAACCTCTAATACAGAGCTTTGTGGAGTACCTGCAAGCCATGACAATCTCAACAATATGTTTGTATAAACAAAACCTGTGTCATGACCACAACAGTCAATATGTCAATGTGGGTGAGAACAACTTCACAAGGTCACACTCATAGATTAAGAATTACAGGAAATCAGCAGCTTCTGAGAGAAGGTGAATCAGTTGTCTTCAGGGACAAGTGCCCCAGTAAATTATCCAATCCCATTGGCCATCCGTAAACACTAAATAAAATGGACTCAGTAGGTGTGTGTGTGTGTGTGTATGAGAGAGAGAGAGAGAGAGAGAGAGAGAGAGAGAGAGAGAGAGGGGAAGGGAGGGACGGAGGGACGGAGATCTTAATCTTAATAAAAGAAGAGATCATGAATTTGAGAGACAGCAAAGGGAATCTGGGAGGATTTAGAGGCAGGTGGAGGAGGAATAGAAATAATGTAAATACTGTACTCATATAAAATTCTGTTAGGAAAAATCTCCAAATGGTAGGAAACCTATCTCTGTAGTGTAAGGTGAAACTCCAAAGCGCATCCACTTTGTAGCTGTCCCTCCCTGTTCCCTTTGCTGAGCTGATAAAGTGATCTCATTCCATGAAAACCCACTGCCCGTCTTGGTGGATTACCCCAGCACACTTACCGTTTTTCATATGTTTGTGTCTCTTTTACATTGCATGGGAGTTTGCTGAGTCTAAAATCTTGCATAAAAATTTGGAAATAAATAAAATTCTACTTTTCAGAATAAAATATGTTTTGCTTTTCTTTAAAAAAAACAGTAAAATAAGAAAGTTCATAAAATTTTACAGTTAGATATTACTCCTGTCAAAACAAGAATAAACACAAGTGTGAAGAGCTCCATATTTATATCTAAAACAGAAATATCCAATAAAAGTGATTTATTTTTATACAAAAACCCTTTCAGAATAAAATGTGTTTTGTTTCTCTTTCCAAGAAAAACAGTAAAATAAGAAAATTCATGAAATTTTGCAGCGAGGTGTTACTCCCATCAAAACAAGGAAAAACACAAGTGTCAAGAGCATCTATATTTATATCTACAACAGAAATATCCAATACAAGTAGTTTATTTTTATGCAAAAACCACTTTCCAATTTCAGTTAATGATTTCCTTCATTTGTTCATTCCTTCCTTTCATGCTGATTTAAAACTAAATTTCCAAGCACTTGTGGCAATACATTCCAGTACTTAATAAGATGACTGAAGATTGATTGCAATGAAAATTCTAGATTTTCAAACATTTTACTTTGTATCTCTTAAAATATATTTAATTAAAACATAATTATGTCACGTCTCCCCTTCCCTTTCTTCCCCCAACCTCTTCCATATCACCTCCCTCCAACCCATTTCATGTCCTCCCTCCTTCTAAAGTTGATGGATTCTTTTTCTTATATTATTGAGATAGATAGGTGCATAAATAGATAGACAGACAGACAGGCAGATAGACAGATGACGGGTAAATGCACAAATATGTGAATACAACTCTTTAAGCCCATTTTTTGCTGTTTAAGAGTATATGATTTCAGATGACCATTTTATAATGAATAAGTAATCAGAGGTCTCATCACTAGGAGGCAAGTTCTTCTCTTGGCTGCAATCAGTTGCCTTAGTTCTTTGTCTAGGGTTACTTGTGTCTTATTGAGATCCATCACATCAGACTCCCTATAGACTCATTCTGTTCTCTGAGCATTCTCAATTTCCTCCAAGAGGATGGATAAACAAAATTCATAATCTCCATGATTTTGTCATCATCAGAACGAAATAAGCATCCGTGTCGATTGAAGCACTAACACCTGCATAGTAATTCAGGAAGTCTTCTTTTGAAACCTGAGGAAGGAAAAAGGTGAGGGGGTGGGAAGAAACAGTGTCAAAATATGTGAGCCACAGAGCACTGCCTTTTTTCCTGAGATGCTAACTACAGATGGGATCTGCAACAGGAAATAACGCAGCCTTGCCTGAGTTAAGAAGAACTTGCTTAGTATTCCCACCTGAAGCTGGTTTCTGAAATGGGATCTTTACAGTGGGCAGCATAAGACTCACCTACACCTCGGTCATCTAAGCTCCCTTCCCCAAGCCATCACTACTTATAGTAAAATGAGATCTAGAGATCTCTACCATGCCACCCAGTAAGGTAGCCACTGACCACATACAGCTGTTTAGATTACCTCTAATTAAAATGGAGTCTAATGAGAAATCCCATGCCTTGAGATCACTAACCATACTCCCCCTGCACACCAGCTACGTGTAGCCAGCAACTGGCACACTGGAAACACTGAGGGAGAACAGTTCTGCCACCAGAACAAGTTCTGTGAGACAATCCTGCTCTAGACTCAATACTGTAAACTTCTCATCATTAATAATGCTGTCAACCCTCTGTGTCGGTGGATTCTTTATCCATTGATTTATTCAGCTTTGATGAGGGAGAATTTAAAGTAAATGAAATTGTGTACATGTCCGAGATGCATGTAGTTTGTGAGCAAATGTCAGTTTATATAAAGGACCTGAGCAATTAAGAATTTTATTATCTGTGGCTAGTTCTGGAATAAATACTCTCTGGGGGGAAAAAGAGATGAGTATGATAAAGATTTTATGGCATAAATGAGTAGATAATAATTGCTTTAAGGAAGAAGAGTCTAGGGCAAACACATGGAGAGATAGAATTAGAGGGAGGAGCACCCTACAGGATCTTTAAGGGAGCACTCTGGAAAACAGGATGTGTATACTCAATGGCCAATAGCCGGCTGGGAGACAATTGTCATATAGTAGCTTCTGGAACCACCTTATCAGCCAGGCCAGAAGTGTGTTTCTCATAACTAGTTCAAAATGGACTTTCTATGCTGGGTAATGGCACTGAGAACAAAATACAGGAGTCAGATCATACCTTCCCTCCCCCCCTCCCTCCTGTGATCCCTCCCATCCTTCCCTCCCTCTGCCCTCTTGCCCTCTGCCTTGTACTAGGAATAGAGTTATTCTTTCCATCTTGGTCCTAGAAGACTGACTCAAGACTGCATGCTGAAAAATTGGCGAGCCTCCTAGGTGGACATAGTCTGACCCTGTGGGAAAAATAGAAACGAACAGTGATAGTAAATAGTAAATTATGTGTCTCAATATCTCATTCTTGGCTGTCAAGGTAGTAATTTTATGAGTAATTATGTCATGCATCTTAAAAAAAAACTCATCACTTTCAAAATTTAATGTTGTCACCTGTAACCAAAACATCATACCATTAATATTTAAAAAGAGGTTTATAAAGAATATTTATAAACCAATATCTATAAATATTATAAATAATATAAAAGCACAATCACTCTGCTGTAATGAGTTCATCAATAAAAACATCACACAACTAAAATAGTCACAAAAATAAACACTTGCCCAGTCCCGAAGTCTATACATTTGAGTTAACTTTTATACAGTTCATTACAATAAAATGTTGCATTTTTATCAAGAAACAAAAGCACAGTCAGAGAGCCTGGGTAAGTAACATGTTAGCTAATAAGAAAAAACATACTTTGGAAATAATTTTAACCTTAAACCAGACAGTTAAATGTTTCTTTCATTGAAACCATTTTCAAATCTTATTGGCTTCAGACTGTTTTAGAAGCTATATGGAACCTTTTCACGACTAATATAATAATTATAGTTTTATACAAATAGATATCGCCCATAAACCTATGGATATAGGTAGACACAGCCCTTGTACGCCTTGTTACATTACTAATGTTTACTTAACTTTGTTTTTGTTTTGAGTTTACATGAAATCAAAGTGATTTCTACTCAAACACTTTCTAAATGACTTCAATTAGTGGAGCCGAAATTCTCAGTCATTTGCTTCATGCACTTTGCAGCTTCAATGATGATCTTAAGTAAATGGATTTTGAATGATATTGCTAAACGACGTTTGAAATGTGAATAAGTGTGAAACTTGTGGAAGGGTACTTTATTTCTCTGTTGCCTTGGAAACGAAGGGAATGTCCTTCGCTAAGTAAGGCGGTGTCTGCTGCCGGATAATACTCCGCATTTGTGAAGTACTTTAGCACACCACTGTAGAAGCGCCAAGACCCAAGAGAACCCTGGAAGAGGCAAGCCACTCCGTCCCCCATCATTTTCCCTCAATTTGCGGCCCCCATTCTGTTCCGAGTCTCTCTCAGAAGGCTAATTGTCGGGAGTTACACACACAGCCTGAGCGTTTCCAAGATACCAGCCCCTGAAACCTTCCAAGCTCTAGAGCAAGATGCTTCCAGATCAATACCAGTGTCTGAATGTCAAGGAATAAGGTCAGTGGAGACTGTTATAAAGAATCTGGAGAAGAATTCAATACAATTGACAAAAAAAAAATACTAATCATGACATTTTGAGGGTTTCCTTCCGCAGTGCACTTGACCGTACTGCCAGATGTGAAATCCATATCAGAAACAGCTGCTGTGGGGTGGCTAATATCCTCACTGAGCTTTACTTCCACTACGTTTCTCTGAGGGGAAGACAAAAGCTGGCTTTGGCAAAGCAGGTGTGAGAATTAAAGAAGAAGGCTGTGCTATTCTCAGAGAGGAAGGGCTGTTTCACCACAGTCTCTCACCGCATCAACGCAGACTGCCAGAAAGAACCCTTCTCACAAAAGCGTTCTCAGAAGTTCCATCAATCATTTGCTTATATATCTTCCAACAGATTCCACCCGCCATCTATTTTAGAAGAAACCATTTGGGGCACTAACTTGGTGAGGTTTTCTGTTAGAACAAAAAGGACTTAGCTGGGTCCAACCTGAGCACACAGTTTTCATCTAAGCAACTTGAAAGAGTCAAACCCACGTTGAGAAAATCATTTGTCCAACGAATCAATTATATGTCAGACCCTTAGAGTTTTTGCTTTTACTTTGAGTCACAGCCTTTCTTAGAGTTAAAAAAAAAACCCTATTGCTGTATTCAGGAAGCTCTTAATTTAAAAGCCCCTCAAAAATCTTTGTTTTCCCCTTGAGTCATGAGTATTTCTATGATTGAACTTTTCCCTGCTTCATCCAACAGATTTTTCAATTAAAATAATAACAGTATTTTCCAGGAATGTAAGCTTGTTGGCCAATTTTGAAAGTGGGAAGTTGTGTATTTCGTATTCTGTACTCAAAACAGATTTGCGTAAATCTAGAACGTAAGTGAGTCACAAGATGTTAATGCAATTTTATCAAGCAGAAATAGAAAAGTACCGACACATCAGCTAACAATATATTGGTAAATTTAATCTCATTCCTTGATTAAATATCTGCATAATAGACTGTGGGTAGATTCATAAGGATGGGGTCAGTTCTGGCCCGTACTCTCACGTTCCAATGAGGCAATCTACATTGGCCAAGACAACTGAAAAAATAGAGCCACTATCTGCCCCTAAAAATAAGAGAAAGTTATGAACGCATTGTCTTGATAGACTTTCAAGATTTCTAATTCCTCTACGTAGTTCCATATGATGGGTTCCCACTGTCTGGCTTGAAGGACTGGATGAGGGAAGAAGGTGGAATTTTGGTGCTAATGTATTCTCTTTCTGCTCTCTCTCATCTATTAACAACTGTTGACTGTTAGTTTGGTTTAAAAGCCACTGGTTGTATCTAACTTATTGTTCCATCCTTACTACATAGAAGGGCATGGAACTCAATAAATAATTATTAATAAGATATTTTTACCTGCAAGCACATTACATGCTGAGTCAGTTGGCGCCCGTTCTGACTTCAACATTGATGTTAGAGTTTGAAATATAACTGAGTTTATGCGTATGAACAACACAGAGCAAATCAACTGCTATCTAGGGGTAGAGAGATCCTGCCAAGGACAAGACAGTAGTGAAAAACGTGTCCTTCAGATTGACAGGAGGAATGCTTCTCCAGGCCGTACATAATTCAGAACATCTTGCTTCTCATTTGGCCTGAGCATGGAATCCAAGTACATTGTACACAGATCTTGATAGAAGTTTAGTTACTTCCTGATCTTACACAGGGTTTTATTCTGAAGGAGACAGTCCAGATTCAGTAATAGTAATGTTGGCTTGGTCTGAAGATTCTAATTTGGAAATAAGGCATGAGTTAGTTTTATTTCATAAAATTCTGCTAACTGTACCCTCTCTTCTTTCCCATATAGGATCCAAGTCCAATAGGAAAGTACTTCCTAGAAAGGTTTTGGGGGTTTTTTATTGTGCCTTGTCTTCTGAATCAATTGGTTACTTTTAACATTACAAGCAGAATAATGCTTAAAAATTTAGATGTTAAATAAATTGGAAGGGTGCTCAATACGTTGTTTGAAAATACTTTAAAACGGCTCTTCCATCTTCCTGCGTTAGCTACTAGACTGGGTGAACTAATGAGTTGGTCTTGACAGTGTATGTAATAAGTCATAGAAGAGTACAGTGATCCTTAAAACTTTATTCTGAAACCATAAATTAGATAAAAATGAGTACAGTGTTCCTTAGCCATTAGATTCTTAAGAGGCTTGTTTCTCAGGGGTGAAAAGGCCTTGGAGGAATCATGCTCCGAATTCAGAACCTAAAACTCTGAAACTGATTCGTGGATGCTCACCTTACTAGACCTGGATGGAGGTGGGTGGCCCTTGGACTTCTCACAGGGCAGGGAACCCTGATTGCTCTTTGGGCTGACGAGGGAGGGGGACTTGATTGGGGGAGGGGGAGGGAAAGGGGAGGCGGCGGTGGGGAAGAGACAGAAATCTTTAATAAATAAATAAATAAAAATTAAAAAAAAGAATCTGCTTAAAAAAAAAAAACTCTGAAACTGAAGGAACTGGATTTGCACTGTGAGACAAGGGTCGCTGTAATGAGCCTTTTGCTGTCCTGCCAGCCAGCTCCCAAATAATGACCCAAAGACACTTCTTATTCATTACAAAATCTAGGTCTATAGTTTAGGCTTGCTCTTACAACTTATACAGCTTAAATTAACCCATTTACATTCATATACATTCTATCATGTGGCATTATTTCTCTTCCATCTTGGGCCTCCTGTTTCCTTTCCACATCTCCTGGCATCTCCTCCATACCTAAATTCCTCCTCTTCTTTTCATTCCCCAGAAATCCTGCCTAGCTTTTGGCCCTTCAGCTTTTTATTACACCAGTCACAGCAATACATCTTCACACAGTGTAAAATATCTCATGACAGTTATCTAAAGTCAGATGAGTGTGCCCTGTACTCTCCTTGGACAGGAAACAAAATATCACTAGAAGAGATAGAGCTGAGAGCTGCAACTCAGAATCACATGCTTGCTCTGTAGCTTGCATTAAGCAAGACATGAGTGCTACCCACAATCAAAGACCCAGATCTATCTAGATCAGTAGGCTTGTGATTCACCATGTCTAGGACATAGGAGGCTTCCCCTCAGTCACAGCTTGCAGGGTACATGCTTTCAAATGGTCTTTTCCTGCATATTTGTGCTTCCTGTGTGATTTGTACATATTTTTTCATTACATTTGGTATTGGTTGTCCTGCCCTTCTCTATAGAAGACTGGTTAGGAAATTCAATGGAAAGCATGTCTTGTATAATTAATGAGGGGGAAGCTGCTTTCCTATGATATAAAGATGTGCCCAACCTCAAGATAAAGGCCTCTTCTCCAGCTAGTTCCTAAGATAAATAATTGAGCTTCCCCAACAAGAAACAAAGCAAGGTGCCCCAATAAATAACTGATATAATTCTCATCTCACAACACCTGTTTTCACAGCATTGAAATAGTATCTATCCTGATCTCAAGGAAGAGTGTAAGATAAATGGTAAAGAATGAAGATAAAAGTTAATATTACAAAGTATCTTCAGACCCACTTTATGGAGCCATTTCTATTCAGAAGATCTTGAAGACACCATCAACCTGATTCATGTCCCTAAAGCAATGCACAGAGCCAGCCTGATATGGGGTCTGCAGAAAAGACTTCCGGGCAACAAAAGCAGCTAAGAATTCATCCCAGCCTCACAACCAGAGTCTATTCACTGTCTTGTCTGTGGCCCCAAGCACAAATTGTGCAGAGTAGGAGCTGCAATTTTAGGTTCCATTTATCTTATTTCTGAGGCTTCCATTATTTCTATTAGTCCCTTATGCATTGATTATCCCATGTCAATAAGATACAAGCAGAGATGAGGGCTGAAAAGAGGATTTGAACCATGAAGTATCAAGTATCATGAAGAATCTGCTTTAGAAAGCTCTATGATTTTAGTCTGGGCCATGTCCATCCTCTTTGCATAAAGAGAACTGTCAGCATGCTTGGCTGACAACGGAGAAGAGTTAGATAAACTTTGTGCCAAAGGAAATTTTGCTAGCTACCGCAGTGAAGCTGTTCCACATAAAATAGTAGAGTCCAGTCCAGGCTCACAAGTCCAAACACAGGAAGGTGTTGAATATCCATAGGTTTATCATTCAACAAAATGACCTCCATCATATCAGTATTTAAAAACCAATAGAAACCCACAAACCTATAGTCATGTTCAATCTATTTGCCAAAAGGAGGCTTCCATAGACCCTAAGAGGTAAAACTCCAGATTCACTTGCAGAAATTATAAACCTAGTATATTCTTTCTTGTCCCCAAATTGAGGTTAGGACCCTTAAAATTATACAACTATACAAATAGATATATTCTCACACCCAGCTTAAAGGTGAAACTATCTTGACTTTCTGTGCAAATAAGGTCATAATTACAAGACTCAAAATTTCACTGATGACCAAGGGAGACATCACAAATTGATTGACATAGCCACAGTGCTAGCAAATTTAGAGAGGCAACTTTAATAATTCCTACTTTAGAAATAAGGAAACAGTTTCAGAGGACACAAGTTCACAGTTAATTACTTAGTGACTTTATTTCTGCCCTTACGTCAGCCCTAGAAAATACACTATGTTGGCAAAGAAGAAGATGTGCGATGAACATGAAATAAAATATCATTCTGAGTTTTTGAGGTGCGTTTTGATCATTTAGAGTCACATGGCTGTCTCCATGACCTGGCTCCCAGGGTCAGGCATCTAGAGCTTCCAGGCAGTAGTCATCATGATGATGAAGTACACGTCGGTGTCAATGGATGCACTCACGCCTGCGTAATAGTTCATGAACTCCTCGGGGGTCACCTGTGAGAGAGAAGTTAGAGAAAGGACACTTTGGGGTGCTTTTCAGTGGAGGCCTCCCTTCCATCCCTGTAAAAAGAAGGGGCGTTACCACCAAGGATGTCTGTGTGTATGATTACAGCTAAGGAACAGACCTAAAAGAAAAGGAAAACCAAGTTAAGGATAGTTGTGAAAATAGCTCGGGACAAAAGAAGTAAGTCTTGAAAACATCCAAACCACCCTAAGTAAAGAGCAAGCCATGGGTTGTTATCTTTTCTTTAAAAACTGGGGCCTGTGGGTTAAAAAACAGAGACTAAACACAGAATTAGAAGTAGATATATTTGCGGTTAATACTGTCTTTCTGGCACATATAAGAAATATGCCATATCCAATGTCAGGATAAGCAATGTCTCACCTTCCAAGGAATGCTTTGTCCTATGGGTAAAGAAAGCAATTTCTAGTAAAGTGTATGATTTCTGTGTGTTTCTACAGTATGAACTGCTCGCTCAAGGCTGAAAGTGAACAAAAACATGACCTTCCCCTCTGCTTTTCCCACCCCTCCCCCGGTTCTCCACTCTGTGTATATGACTGTCTTTGGAATATCAGCAGAAACATCTACTTCCATACTGAGGTTCAGAAGACTCTCCTTTTAGAAAAAAGGAAGGAAGTCTCATGAGTTAATAGGAGTTGGCCAACCTCAAAGTCAAAAGACTAAAACATCACAAGAAAGGAAACTCATAAATAACTGAAGAATTCTTTCTAGTTCCTAACAGCTTAATCTGTCTCACTAATGTTTAGGACCATAACTATCTCTTTTTTGTACTATAGGGGCTCATGAAAAAAATGCCCTTTTTTTTAATGAAACAAAATAATGTAAGTTAACCAAAAAATTCATGTGACCTACAATGTCTCTATATATTGTTTCATAAGCTTCCTCTCTCAAACCAGTGAAAGACGCCAGGAAGCATAACCCTGAACTCAGTAAATACTGAAGCTGGGGTCATCCATCTGTAAATACAAATAAATTACATACATGCATGAATTTTTGTCTGTATGAAAGAGTTTGCCATAGGGTTTTTTTGTATTTATAGTTCCTTATGTTTTTAAGATGTCAGTAAAATTACAAAAGTTTCAAGGCCGGGGAAATGTTTAGCATCATGTGTACTGGCTGTTCATTAAGAGCTCCTGGGGTTGATTCACAGAACCCACAAAAGGTTGATCACTTTTATGAACATATTTATTTCATTTTGTCTATTAAATAAGATGACTGTAAAGCCCTTAACACAATAGTCAGTTGATAAGTGTTCAATAAGCATTGTTCATATTCATTGTCATAATACATAAGGCTGCATATATATTATGGTTACTAATAAAAGTAAGGCTTTCTAAATATTCTAGATCTAAGGCTCTCAGATATGGAGTGTGTAAGAACCAATGGAGCATATATTAAATATACAAAGACTAAGGATACATCTCCCCATATGTCAGACACCATGGTTCATCAGTAATTTGAATTTTCAAGACACACACTTGATGATAATGAATAGCTAATATTCAACATCATTACAGGTCTATGGTATTCAAGCAACATCACATACTATAACTACAGAAAAACCCCAATAACCTTTTGAGATTTTGAGAGATCAATGTGGCTGATTGAGATAAATTTGAGAAGGACCTGCAATAGAGACGTTAAGTCAGTTGAATCACACATGGCTACTTGGACTTGTTAGAGCCAAAAGCAGCTGACATTTCCCCTGGTGACAAGGAGGAACCACCTGCAGAAAGAATGAAAGACAACAGGGACTATGGAGAGCTGAGCTATTAGGGGAAATGGCAGTTGGCTATTTTCTCTGACATCTTGGTAGATCAAAGGCAGCAGCACTAGAGGAAACACACAGTTCTGTTATTTCTGTCCTAGACCTTCGGCTGCCCAACAGAAGCTGGAACTCTTTTGTATCTGCTGTTAACAATTCCTCGACCTACCAGACACCACTTCAACTACTTCTCCATCTCTGACTACAAAATGTCAGCAGGTAGGCAGGAAACTTCCCCCTTCCTACCTCCTGCCCCTTGATAATAAGACAAGTCAGCAGGTTTTATGGGAAAGGGAGGGGAAATTCCCTTCAGGGGGAGGAGGCTTGCTTCTTCTTCTCATAAGCACCACCCCTTCCTAGTCTTACCTTTTCTGGTCTGGCCCTCAGGTTAAGAGGTGCGGCTGCTGCCCAGGCTGAGGGACTCCCCTCCCACATCACCATAACTCTCAGGTCCTCTAAAACAAAAACTGCCTCCAAGTGTTTAAACAGGTAGGTTGAGGCTCTTAGCCCATCCAGTACACAGCATCTTGTATAGTTGAAGACAATGATTGATGAAAATGGAGTGACTGGTTTAGATGTGCAAGCTGATCTCAAAATTTACCAAAGCATGAGTCAGGGTGAATTCTGCTCCCTGGGATTCCCTTTACCAGCAGCTGCTTTTTCACACAGGAAAGTGTGATAACAAATGATGCTTCTACGGACAAGGGTAAGAGAAACAAAACGTCCCAAATAGCCTTGCTTATCTGTCCCAAAGCATATTGGTCCTATATAAAACTAAGCACACTTTTATTGTAATTTAACTCATAAGAATACAGTTTGCTGTATGTGGGGAGAATAGTAATCTTCTATTTGTAACAGTTAGGGCATCAATATGCTGAGTTTTTTTTTTTTTAAGGCTTTGAACCTATTCCTAATTTACAATTTCACTGGGGGTAGATAAATTTCATCTGGATTCATCTTTTTCACTTACCAACCCGTCTTTGTCATACGGTGAGTCAAAGTTGTCCAGAAACTTCCGGAAGACTTGCTCCTCCGTCCATTCCCCATTTTGGTACTTTGGATGGTGTTTAGCATTATAAACTTCGCGAAGGTCTTCAATGGTTATAACACCATCTCCGGTTTTGTCTAACTTCCTAAAAGCTTTCATAATTACCTCCTTTCTGGCTCTGGACATTGGGGGCTAGATAAATTAAAAAATAAAAATAAATACACACACGTGGATAAATACATATGCAAATGAACTTCTAAGCAGATGTGACTTGACACTCCCACCAGTGGTGTGAAATTACTTAGGTACCACTAAGTGAGATACAACAGAAAGTCCCTCATCTGGCTGAATCTTCTGCCCACACCCCCGTGAAATGTACTAGCAAGTTCTGAAAGCAAAACTTTAAAGTAGTTAACCCAAACCATGTGAAAGTCAAACTCTTCCACAGAAAACACTGATTCATAGGGCAAAAGTTTGGGGAAAATCTTTACCCTTAATGTGAGAAGGAACTCGTTGAAGTCTATGGTCCCATTTCCATCTCTATCAAATCTCCGGAAAAGTTCTTCTGCCTCTTCTTTCTCCATGACCACAGCGTAATCATTTAACCCTTTCAAAAATTCTTTGAAATCAAGGGTTCGGGTGTTATTGTCATCCATGATCCGAAACACTCTGAAGATAACAACATGGAAAAATAAGATAAAACAAAACAAATAAACACAAAGAACAACATCTAAGTGCAAAGATGCGAAAAGTGAGCCGCTCCCATTTGCTTTAAAATATAATACATAAGTTTTAGACTTTTCTCCGCAGACTCACTGTTGAGCTCAGAGGCTCTGAGCATTTCCTACAGGAAAGCAAACTTTCAAACTCACATTGCGCATGGACACACACACACACACACATACACACACATAGAAGGCTGCAATTGTACTCTTTGATTCTAATTCCATGACATGTACAACAGTTAGTTTTTCAGTCTCGCAAACATCTAGGTGTGACGGCTTGGCTGTCGGGTGCAGTGGTGCTGCTGGAGGTTGGTAGTGCCTGCTGAGACTGGTGCCTACTGGATGGAAATCACATAATTGGAGTTGTGCCCTTACGAAGGCTATTGCCTGGACCCTGCCTGCTTTCTTCTAGCCTCCCAGCCAACAAGAACAGGCATCTGTACCCCTACTGTGTTCTCCTTGTGCTAAGGCACTTCCCTGCCACAGGCCACAGCAATGAAGTTCATTGATCATAAACTGAAACCTGACTGTGAGCCAAGAAGAACTTTTTCTCCATGCAGGTTTATTATCCCAGGTATCTTGTTAAAATAATGAAGAGTTGTAACCAGAGACTGCTTGTTTGTTTTCCGGCCACATCAAAGAGTTACTAATATAGGTAACCTTTACAGGAACCCATGTTTGCCAATAAATCATTCTTTCCTCATCTTCCACTTAAACAAATGCCAAAAATGTAGACAAGCAATTGAAGCATCGTATTTTTATTTTTATTAAATCATATTAATCTTTGTAAAATTTCTAGAAACTATTATCAAACATAAATAAGGCTTCTAATTCTCCACTTATGTGCACTGACCACCATAAAGTATACAGATGCTGTTTTGTCCACAGGAAGCCTCTGCTTAGAAACACATCTGTTATAGGCTAGGAGTCTATGTTCCAATGCATGGTACCTACAACTTTTATGAAAGAAATGGTATATCGTCTCATTGATCTTGTGATGCTTAAGGCCTTTCTATAAATGCCATATCATGCTCTTATGATCTTACTCATTTCCTTTTCCTTCACCATACACCACTCCCCATACTAATGCCCTAAGAATTATATTTTTGCTGGAATCATAACTGACAGAATTATAATTTAGGATTTCGGAAAGGTGAACTTGAATTCTAGTTCTGCGGTAACAACAGCTATAGAAACTGGGTCTCACTTTTCCACAAAAGTCTATGCTAATATAATATGCAATTGCTAAGTTACAGCTTACGATTTTCTTTTTGCTAGTACTGTGTAAAGATGAGGGATTCAGATGCAAATGACATAAAGGTAGATGCCTCACTATGTGGAGGAAGTGACCAGCAAGAAGGAGCTAAGAAATAGGGCAATGAAGAAAGGATGAATAAGAATGGATATATATTTATGTATAATATTCCAGAATGGAGCTATTTACCCTGACTGATTAGCAATGAAAAACTAAAAATGAATAAAATTTCAGACTCTTGTTAATTTATATTTCATATTTTCTTTTAAAAGCTAGAAAGAACACTTTGGATAGTAATTAAGTAAATAAGTACATTATACAGACTTGGACATGGGCTATTTGGTGGCAGAGTCCATCTCTATGCATTTTATTGCTATAAATTCACTGTGTAGCAATCAGTCTTTTAATATTCCCCAGCTAGATGAGTTAATGAACAAACTTTTCTACTACAAGAAATAGGCTGACAAGTTTCTGTCTTCAAAGATTAATTGAAAGAAATAATGCATTGCTGACACATCTTGGATTGTTCAAAAAACTTCGTCATCAGTTAGGCATCTTATAAGCTGCCAAACATTAGATTAAATGCTGTAATTTAAAATACATAGTTGAATGAGACACAGACTCTATGCATATGAAATTTATTCAGAGACAGGGAGATAGGAAAGGAGGGAAATCAGCTATTCTGAGTTCTGGCAAGGAGAAGCATTTTAGATCTATAGTAGTTTGGGGAACATCCCTTGTCCATCTGTGGAAGCAAGAAGACTGCTACCAAAGCTTAAAAGAGATGGAAGAAGCACAGACAAGTGGATTCATAGAAAAATATAAAGAATTTTAATCTCCTTAAGTTCTAAGGAGCTTCAACCTTGTTACATGATAAAACACGTAACCTGTTACATGATAAAACTTTGTTACATGATAAAGTAACTGGTGGCACACGCCTTTAAAGTAACTGCATGGTTTTCATGAGCAAAATATCATCAAGATAAATTCTTAGAATCCTTAGAAAGAACTGGTTGAAAGAATTATGCAGAAACCTTGGCAGTGAAAGAGGCTGAGAGTCTGCCCATGAGCCACTCAGATGACAGTATGAGAAGAGACCTCAGAATTCTCTGAAATCAGGTTATCACTGTGGTGGACTGATGAAGATAATTCTCAATATTCCAACTCAAGAAATGATGAGTGTTAGTAGCTTCATTTGCAGAAAGGAAAAGAAAAGCAACTACTAGAGGTTTTTCACTAGTTTCCAATTAGTTAAAAAACTTTAGAGTTTCTTTTCTGCGATAAGATATAAATTAGAGCTCAAAATAGGATTTTCTTCCTGGTGTGTACAAGAGGACAGAGTAAAGATGAGCTCTCTCAGCCATGTGTAAGACATATGGTGAATTCAGGATATTGGCAATAGAAATAGGAGCTCCCTCGATTTCTTGGAGAGTGAGAAGTGTGTAAGGAAGAATATATACTATTGAAATTCTATAGACTTCCATGTCAAAAATTAGAGGTGCCAAAATGATAATAGAATCAACTTGATGTTGAGCTTCAGAATAAATTCTTAAGACAAGATGGGAAGATGGTTCCACAAGCATACATTTCACAAAATCAGAACCCTGGAGTTTGTAGAGGGCAGATACTAACTAAAGAGGTGTCCTTCAAAATCAAGATCGGTGAGAATGTTTGCATTTGTGGGGATATATTTACTGGGGTCTAGACTTAGAATAAAGGGAAATACCTGCTTTCCAATAGATCCTAAGACAAGGGTGGAGTAAGGGTTTCCCTCTACATGAATTGAAGACAGACTAAGGGAGACCAAAGTCAACAATATAAGGTAGACAGAGGGCAGTTTAAGCAGAAAGCTCAGGGAGAGGTGGTAGCAGCTCACAGTGGAAGGGCTAGTTTAGATAAAGGTTGAGGGTAACATAAGGTGGGAATGGCGTGGACAGCAAGAAGAATCCAATTGCATGATTGTTAGTGGAACACAAGTCAAGGTTCCTCAGAGGTCTGCACTGAAGACAAGGAAGTAAACCCAAGAGGACCTAGAGGTTGGAACCCCACAACATTGAAAGGAAGTGGCCTATGAGAGCATGAGTAGCAAGATCCTTATATCTACACCCCTGAACTTTTAACAGAGCCGAGTTTATTTTAAGAAAGGTATGGAAGTGCCTTGGGTATTTGTTCTTTGGGAGTTTTTTAGAGGGGCTTCCCCAGGTGCCCAGTACCTGACTGCAAATAAAGTTTCTGCAGCCTCTGAGTGTGAGGTTGTGTTCTCCTTACACAGACATCTTTATCAAACAGATTCGCAGGCCACTGAACAGCACATTTGTGTACTCTCTTAGTCTTGGTCCTTCACGGGACCTGCAGAAGCATGTCCACACATGACGGCCCCAAAATACGTACAAGGCCAGGTTTATGATATATATTCATTATAATTTGTCAAAATACACAAAGTTCATTCTTAGAAGACTCAGTTCCTTTCTCCTTGGAATTTTCAGTCCTCAAGTCTATATACACTATCAAATATCAGGAAATATAAGCAGAATCACTTGACCAATAGACTACTACTGGGGTAAACACTAAGTCATCCCATGAGCAATTACAGTGGTAAGTGGGACATGCCAGCCTGGCTGGAAGCAAGCTCCAAATTCTCCTTTATACAAAATCCATATAGCCAAGGCTGCTGGCCTCATCTCATTATGCTGGAAATGGCATTGAGCTGCTGATCCTCTTGCTTCCGCCTCCCCAGTGCTGGGATAACAGGAATATGCCACCATGCCTGTTTTTCTAAATTCTTTAATTATTGTTACACCTCCTTCTTCTACCCCAGCTTTGGGCGGAGCCTTTCCCCATGTCCTTCCGAGTGTCTGTACTCCTAAGCGTGCTTTCCTTGGCCTCCATTGCCACAGGAGCTTCCCTTCCTTGGAACAGACACACACTTTACTGAACTTGGAGTTAAGAACAAAACCTGTCATGAGGACTCAGAGATCCTCTCTCCCAAACAATGAATTTCATAGATAAGAAACTGAGGTCATAAGAGGAAATTATTTGCCCAATATCACAAAGTCAGTGTAAGGCTCACCTAGACAATTCTGATGTATTTGCATTCACTGTATCCCCACTTGTGGTGGTTTGTAGGCCAATGCCTCTTATAGGGTTATATGCTTGGATTTTTGGTACCCATCTGGTGGACCTCTTGATAAGATTAAGAGGTGTAGTCTTATTGGAGGAGAAGCATCACTGGGAGTGGGTTTTGAGGTTATATCTCTCTGCTTACCGTTTGTGGATCAGGATGTAAACCCTCAGCTAGTACCTAGTGCCATGCCTGATTGCCTGCTGCCCTGCTCCCTGCTGGTCATGGACTCTAACCATTTAGAACTGTTAAGCTCCCAATTAAATGGTTTCATCTACAAGTTTCCATAGTCATAGTGTTTTGCTACTGATTTAGAAAAGTAACTAAGACACCATCCTACCTGCCAAGACCTTTGATGCCTGCAGAGCCCCGGGCCAGGCACTGCAATCGCAGTCTTTCAATGGGATCAGTTGCTGTGGAGAGCTTTTTCTTGGATTGGATTGCCATCTCACGGTCATGGCGTGCTGTCCCTGCCATCTGAAAGGAGAATCCACAGCCTGTTAGTGGAATTTAGACCCTACTGCCCGTATCGAGCTGGGGAGTTGGCGCAATGAAACATACAGCCTTCTGTCATTCTGCCCTCAGGAAATAGTCTCAAACTTCCTAAAATTTTACAATTTTTAACTATGCCAATTGTGTGCCTGGCATTTTTACAACCTACTTATCTAGTTTCACAGACATGTATTCTCATCACTCTGGAAAATAATGAAGAACACAGCCATTTCCCAATATGCTTTGATCTTTCTGAAGCCCTTCTCTGTCCAAACAAACACATCCTTAATAGTGAAAGGAAAAAGGAAAAAAGAAAGCATTCAGAAGCTGCTAAGGATGCTAAAGTTGACCAAAGCAGTATGTATGTATATGGAAAAGTGAGAGAAACCATTAGATCTGGAACATCCGTGGGAGTTGATAGTGAATTCCTCAGTACTTACTTGTTTGAACCACTTGTGATGAGGTGTGTGTGTGTGTGTGTGTGTATGCATATATCATTTATAAGGCCCTGTATCCAATTGATCCTACATTTAATGCTCTCCCCTTTGGTTTACGTGTCAAGTTTTGTCCTCACTGAGTTTCTCAATAAGAGTGTTAGTGATACTTACCAGTAACTCATACACTCTCTTTAGTAGGTTACTGCCCCTCAAGCAAGGCTTTTAAGGAAGAATAAAATTGAAAAACCAGTCCTCTTTCTTTCTATCTCTTTCACACACATGCGTGCTCGCGTGCGCGCGCGCGCGCACACACACACACACACACACCTATTGTACTCCCTTAGTTGCTCTTTTCTGTAAGAAATATTCAGAAATAGTAGAAGGTGACCTGGCCAGTCCAGATTTGGATTCTCAGAACTCTTACGTCAGTGGGAAGAGTGCAAGACCAAAAGTATAGGTGCCTAAATTTTGTGCTTATTTCTCCAAACCCATCCCTGGTGAATATGAGTTTGAGACAAACTCTATTGTCTGTTGCATGTGGCAGCAGCTGTCTAGAGTAGACAGTGGACAAGGGAGACCAGAGAACACCAGGATCTGCTTAGCACCAAGTGAGGGGCTTCTTACTGCACCTTGCAGGGTATCACATGCCATAACAGTACAAGTATGTCAGGCCTAAGCCCCCTTCTCTTTTGTTAAAGCCACACTGTAGCCATCATGGAGGCCCCACTCTGAGGCCTTCTTCTAACTTTAGTTATATCACAAAGATCCTACTGGAAAGTGTCATAACATACAAACTTTGGAATTAAGTTTCTAATACATAAATTTGGTAGGACACAGTAAAACCAAAGTAGGAAAACAAATATGGATTAATAACATTACTTTCCTATAAGTCCCAACGAACAATAGACATTGTACTGTTTAATCCCACCAGATTCTTTCGGCCCCACCATATATAACAGTATGTAAGAAATTCAAAGTGTCATTTTCTGGCACTTCCTCATGAAAAATCAAAATAGACTTTGGGAAGACCAGAAGCAGGGATCTAGTCTGCAACCACTTCTGCCTTCTGAGGCCAGTTCTACCAGGGATGATGTAGGATGACGCTACTTGACATGACCTGATGAATTCAGAAAAACATTGCAATCAAACATGGTACTTGAGATGCTCACGTCGACCATTGCTTTTCATCATTTAGTCGCTTAATTCAGCAACAAGCAGCCAATATTAACCACATCCTCTTTTCAGTGTACTGTGTCGGAATAGAAGTTAGGAGTCTGAGGGGTAACTCAGAGAATCAAGCTCTAGAGGAAACAGAGTCTTCACTTGAATTGTGCAGCCTCGCATTAAAGCAGCCCAGGAAAAATAAAGATTGCAAGACCTGGGGTTTGAGAGGAAGGTGGGATAGAGCAGTATTTCCAATAAAGAAGGGCAAGATGTACTCAAAGCTCTGAGGTTTGAATAATACATCCAGCTGCAGTCTCCGAATATGATGTCACGATGTCGCTGACATCACAGCCCCAATTAAAGAGTGTCTGACTCCAAAATACCCCTTTTGACTCTGGTCACAGCAATACAATCTGTCAATATGAACTAGGCTTAAGAGGCAGTCCTTCCCAATGCATGGGGCCACAGCACCACCATGTGGTGGCTCAGCATATGTACAGTTAGCTTGCCAGAGGAACAGTTCAGTGCTTTGCTTCAGCAAACCTCTGTCTAGATTGATAGGTTTGGGGCAGCAACAGCAGGCACAGACAATATTCACAGCCTGGAATCTCACTTTATCCCCACTTGATCCCAAGAGAAAGATCACAGCTTTGGCCTGGGGACTTTCTAGACACCAAAGAGGAAATGATATTATTTTACCCATAATAGAAGCTAAAAAAAAATTATCTAGGCTAGGGCTGTGAGTGTTCAACAAGGATGGTTCCTATATAATTGAGATGACTGGTGTACCACATGCTTTGGCCAAAGCAAAAAGTTAAATAGCCTAAATAGAGACATACACCCTTTTTATTTTTATTTCATTTGCATGTATGTTTCTATGTACATGTATGCCATATTTATGAGAAGTCACAGAAGATGGAACATGCAGCCAGGACGAGCCTATTGTGTCCAGTATGCTGCCTGGACCCTGTGGACAGTGGTAGATCCATTGAAAATCCATGTGAAGAAGCTTGAGGTGTGAGGTGAAGGGAGAACTAGGGCTGTATCCAGAGCTGCTGTTGCCTTGTCTCTCTTCACTCAAACCCACCCTCACCCACAGTGACAGATGAAGGGATAGTCATGCATGTTTCTACCTATTGATACAATTTTAGTATATATTTATCATATTGCATTATACATTTCTATTTCTGATCAAGACACTCATACATTGTTTACAATTTGAGGTCATTGTTCTCATTTTCTGCATAGTAGTTTAAAGATTGTTTAATATTCTAATATAAAGCCTTAGTCTTTAAGTTATGCGGGTATTAAGTATTACAGGTCAATAGTCATCCAGGTTTGTCATACTTATCCTTTAGACTACTCAGGGCCTTTAGATACATAGCGATTGTATTCTGCATAGATAGGTAATCTTCAATCACTTCAAAAGGCTGTAGAATATGGCATTTAAATAACTTAGGGTTCTGTTGATATGAGACACAATTGCTCCTGGCAGCACCCACTTATTCCCGAGAAAACGTTGAGCACCGAAGACACTCATTTGGAGCTTGTTTTCTTCTTGGCAAAACTGGCCTTTGAGCAAGGAACTACCCATGCCTCAACCACTGACAAAATGCACGGTGTCTAGACTGGATAAGCAAGATACAAGGAGAAAGACTGCCAAGACAGGGTAAGAGAGTTTTGAAAATCTTCCTGCCTCTTAAAATGATCTGTCAGTTACTCTAGGCTTTAGCCAAAGTTTGTTGCTCTAATGTTGCAAATGAGACTTTGAGTGATTGCCCAGGTAGCCAGTTGTCTCTGTCATTTATTGCACATTTTGGAAGCTTTTTGATTGCACTCACTGCTTATTCAAGTAATATTATCTCCCTTCTCAGGTCTTTGATGGGGTTGAAGACTAGAAAGTCATAGTTAATTTTCTCTTATGACTTAGCCAAGCCCTCTCCCTTCCCGCCTGCCACACCAGGATGTTCAATTCTGTTTCTGTTTCCTTTTTGTGATCTGTGAGTTCTCCTTTAATAAAGAACTCCTTGAACCTGGAAACAACCTAGATGCCCCTCAATTGAAGAATGGATGAAGAAAGTATGGAATATATACATATTAGAGTACTACTCAGCAGTAAAAAACAAGGACTTCTTGAAGTTTGCAGGCAAATGGATGGAAATAGAAAACACTATCCTGAGTGAGGTAAGCCAGACCCAAAAAGAGGAACATGGGATGTTCTCACTCATATTTGGTTTCTAGCCATAAATAAAGGACATTGAGCCTACAATTCGGGTTCTTAGAGAAGCTAAATAAGAAGGGGAACCCAAAGAAAAACATATAGGCATCCTCCTGAATATTAACCTTCATCAGGCGATGAAAGGAGACAGAGACAGAGACCCACATTGGAGCACCGGACTGAAATCTCAAGGTCCAAATCAGGAGCAGAAGGAGAGCGAACATGAGCAAGGAACTCAGGACCGCGAGGGGTGCACCCACACACTGAGACAATGGGGATGTTCTATCGGGAACTCACCAAGGCCAGCTGACCTGGGTCTGAAAAAGCCTGGGTTAAAACCGGTCTCACTGAACATAGCGGACACTGAGGACTACTGAGACATCAAGAACAATGGCAATGGGTCTTTGATCCTACTGCATGTAGTGGCTTTGTGGGAGCCTAGGCAGTTTGGATGCTCACCTTACGAGACCTGGACGGAGGAGGGTTTTCCTCGGACTTCCCACGGGACGGAGAGCCCTGATTGCTCTTTGGGCTGACGAGGGAGGGGGAATGGATTGGGGGAGGGGGAGGGAAAGGGGAGGCGGAGGTGGGGAAGAGACTGAAATATTTAATAAATAAATAAAGAAAGAAAGAAAAAAAAAGAACTCCTTACTATTAGGAGCTAGTATAGGATTCCTTTATCCCCACTCCCCATCTGACAGTGTTCTCCTTCAAGGTCCTGACTTACACTTCTGCTTCTGCACTTTTTTGAGATCTCTTTAGTGCTATCTGGTGGCAGAAAAATGAACTACACCTTGCTCCTTCCCCCTTCCCTTCCTTCCTTCATTCCTCCTTCCTTCCTTGCTTCTATATCTTCCTCCTTTTCTCCCTCCCTCCCTCCCTTCATCCCTCTCTCCCTTCATCCCTCCCTACTTCCATCCCTTTCTCACTCCCTCTCTCCATAACTACATGGACATCAACCTGTAAACACAAAAGCAGACAAAATCTTCAAAGCATTCTCTAGCATATCCATCCATACATCCTAAAACATCAAATTCTTCCACATCCAGTTTATTATTAAGCCCAAAGAAATGTCTCACTAAATCCTCAAAACTGAAGCCTTCCTTGGATTTCCCTGACAAGTAGTCAAGGGACCTGGAACACCTTTGACCTGCTCAAATAAAACT